TCTTTAACGCTGTTGACCTTGGCTCCGAATTATAACTACTTTAGTGATGAAGGGCTACACAAGTCCTGAATGAAGCCACCCTAATAATAATAATAAGTATAACAGATCCTGTCAAACGTGAAATAACAGTATTTGCATAGATAAATTTGTATTCATTTAATGTTGGGTGGTTTCAATCCGTTTTTTCTGAGCCAGCAAGTGTTGCGAAGGTTTTACACACATATATATATAATCCTAATATATATTAAGATAGGTAGTATTTTGATTTATCTGTTTGGATTCTATTAAGAGTTTTTTTGATGTTTTGTTTTTCTTACGAGGCTGACATAAATAAAGAGTAAAAAATTAAATATGAAATACCATTCTCTATAATTATCAACATAGGTATTTACTTAAAATGGTTTATTATTTGATGCAAATCATTTAATATTGATAATGATGATAATACGCTTTAGCAGTCATCCATTTTATCACTTATTACCTACCAAAATTAACAAATATACAATGTAATTGTAAATGATTGAACTATAGACGTGGAAGACAGGACCCCTAACTAGGTAAATCATGTGCTATGATACTCCTGACCTTCTCTATTGGAAAACTATAGGCAGTATAGATAAATGTAAATATTTTATACAAAATTAAATGGAAAAATACTTTTACTATTTACATATTAAATTATTTTTATTACACACAAAATGCTTTATATTTCTTTCTATCGTTATATTATTTTAATGTAATCATCTCTACAAGTACATTACATACATTTGTGTAGCAATACCTTCTATTGACGATGACGGAAAACGTTGTGATGAAATCTGCATGTTGAAAAAGGTTGCCATGACTAGAATATTCTCCTTAGAGGACACTTCTACCCAGCAATGGGATGTATGATGAGTTGACTATTTTGTTTGTGGACCCCCGGGATACACTCGAGCCATCGAGTATATAACCAGAAATAGAAACGGAATGTCATTTAATTTGTTTGACAACTATTCTGTCATATCACTACTGTGACAACTGCGCTTTGATTGGCCAGCCCGAATTCGAAACAATTGATGTGTGTCGTCAATGGGTGTCATCGATTGTTTCACTTCAAATCGACCAGTAAACTTTAGATTTCCTATATAATGGACGAAAATTGCAAAATTACATTTTTAATATTTGATCACCGATAAAAATTGATTTCGTTTGTTTTATAATTAGATGTTTTGCTGTTTTTCCCCACACTACCGAATGAAACAGCTCGCCATTTTTAGAGATTATTATCTTTTTTACAATAAATACAGAGTATTTTTGGAATATACAGAGACCTACACACAGGTCAGTTGTAGGCGCTGTCTATATTTCAGTGCAAACGAATTTGATATTTATATATGATGTATCACTGATGAGTTAGCAGGAATGTATGACTCTTATTTCGTCTCTATTTCTGATTATATACTCGATGACTCCAGCTAACAAGGGGTCCATGTCATCGGAAAAAAAATTGGCAATCCAATATGTTTACTTTCTATAAACGGAACTATCCACTTTACACAAATAGCACCTAGTACATACGTAATCCTTTCTTATAATAGACGTATAAATTACCTAAAGTATGAAGTTTCATATTCACTTAAGTAAATTTATAAACTATATAAAGATGATTTTATATAGTTTATATTTACGAAAATAAGTAGCATTATCTCAGCTGTCAAAATCACATTTTGAAATTGATGAATTTGTAAAGAAATACATATTACAATGGCAGGGGGTCTACGCAAACACAGACAAAAAGTTTGGGAACCTCTGTTTTAGGCTGTCCTGTACACTAAATGGGCCAATACACTTGAAAAGATCTTTAACCATTAGTGAGATTTATATGGCCTGCTTTTGTCGTTTTATAAAACATTACAAATACATTTCAAATAATTACTTCGTTTCTAGGCTATGGATTCTAAGACGAGAGTCAAAGGCCCAACAGGGTTTGTCACTGAACCGCGGATGGCAGAACACAGATGTCTCTGGGACGAAAACTACCCAGAATGCCCAGAGAGACTTATTGGAGTTATAGATAGGTATGTTTAGATTGTCTCATTTGGAGTTAAAATATGTTTTGGACTTAGAAAAGCCAAATGCAAACTATCTATTGTAAATTGTAATTTTATATTCTGAGATGATAATAATAATAATACAATAAAGCTTTTTATTTTTTAATATCATTAATCATTCCGATATTTCGGAGAGTGGTATTATCCATTCTATGCGCATTACATGAGGTTTCAGAACGAATACTTTGCTTATTCCGACCTCTGTTAATAATACAAAAATTACTTCCTAGTTCATAAGTCTGCAAACTTTATTTTGCAGATGTCGAGAGCTGAACCTTATAGAGCAATGTAAGGAATACCCACCTCGAGCAGCTACAAAAGAAGAATTGTGTGTTCTACATTCACCATCTGTCTATGAGCTTATGGAGACCACACATCTGAATCAGGATCTGGAGTACTTGGAGGAGGTGTCTTCTAGATATGATGCAATTTATATACACCCTGTAAGTTCTTTCACAAATTAAGTAACTACGATACGTTTAAAAAATTTGTATTCAAGTCATTTGCACTTCGGCACTTTAGTCCCGGGTTTGATTCCCAGTACAACCTATTTAGATAAATAGATAAAACGTTTATCAATTCCATGACAACTTATTTACTGAGATACACTAAAACTAACACTATAATTATTATCATATTTGTTTATAAGTGGTTACTTAAAAAGAACAAATTTTAATAACAGAAGGAACATACAACTACACAAATAACTAATTGAACCAAATAGTTTTGGAAGTGATGTAGGTGAAAAAGAACTGGCTCAGCATAAACGCAGCAGCTTCCCACGGCACTGATCCCACGGCACTGATATTCTGTCAGAACGCCGCCACTTATCATCTCAGACAGTCCTCTGGCGTTATCGTATCATTTAATAAATATTACATTTATATTTCTATTTTAAGAAAAATATATCAATTTGGTACATGAACTTTCCTTAATTAGGGTTACCTATCAGAAATCCGAAATGACGTTTTCCTGAAATAACATTTGCTCGAATTTTCATAACCTCTAAAGTAATTCAGCCATACATACATCTTTGCGATAAACATCCTGAAAAAACAACTTTTCGTTATAATTCGGTTTTTGGGGTAATAAAAATTCGAACCAACGTTATTTTCGACAAAATAAATTCGAGTTTGTGATTTAATTAGTTCTAGTACACGTACAAGGGCAATGATACGTTTTTATAAAGTTACCACACTTACGACCGCTTCTACGTAAAGTATCGTATGTCGAAATTGCCAAGTTTACAGAGGAGCGTTTTAAAGTTCCCAATTCACTGAAATGAGCATAACATGTGACTTTAGCATTACTGTCACATAGAGTATTATAAAATTCTAGGTATTGGTTAGATGATCTATTAAATGATCACTCTATGTGAGTAACGAGTGAATTAAGAAGTTTAAAACGCTACCCTGTAAACTTGGCAATTTCGACATACGATACTTTACGTAGGAGGGGTCCACTTGTATGGTGTCATTTCCTTGAAGTGGTGTAAATATCTATCTAATCCGTTTATTAATAAATTCGAGTTTTGAAAAGCAGCGAATTTTTCTATTCTAGAGCACCCACGAACTAGCCCTAATAGCAGCAGGGTCTACGATAGACATAGTAGACCGGGTAATAACCGGTGAAATTCATAACGGCGCGGCGTTCGTTCGTCCGCCCGGACACCACGCCATGCGGGCAGAGCCTTGTGGGTACTGCTTCTACAACAACGTCGCTTTGGCTGCGAAACACGCTCTCGATAAAGGGGTTAACAGGTTAGTTACACTTAACAATCATATTGCACCCTTAACCTGTTAAAACCCAGCAAACTGTAACGAGAAAAGCGCTATACGCCCAATGACGCCCAATAAATATAATTACATGCATCAAACTCAAGCAAGTATACCCTTAGTGTTATGATAATAATGTTATGAAAACTTTTTTTTAACTGACTTTAAAAAAGGAGAAGGTTCTCAATTCGACTGCTTTTTTCTGTGTACGTTATGCGATAACTCAGGCACTTGCGAACCGATATTGAAGATTCTTTCTTTTTTTTTTCGGAAAGAGGTTACCGCAGTAATGTTCCCATTTAAATTTGAAAAAAATATTCCACCTCTAAGGGTTGCAAACTAGGGGATGAATCCGGTTTCACGCACTTTCCGGTAACCGATTTCAATAAAACTTGGCAAATAGATGTAATTCCCCTTATTAGGTCGGTTTTTAGTACTCTGTACTGATATTATTCTAAATACCTTTTAAATAGAATTATTTTATGGAATATAAAGCTCTGAATTTGAATGCAATATTTTTCATTATAATGTACACTAAGCGTATACGTGATCATAGGAATAATAATGTAACATTTTCATTGTCATTACATCCTCTTTCAACCAAGATAAAATGAATAAAACACATGAAATAAATCTTTGTGTCAGTTTTCATACCAAACAGAATTTTATCATATTTGTGGTGTCACGTACATTTTTTCCACCTAGCTTGTCAGTTTAACAAAAATGAATTTGAATTTGAAATTAGAAAAAAAATCATTGTGAGTGCGATACTTAACTGTGATTCTGTCGATCCACAGACAAACACAACAAATATTGTGTCTACAAAGATTTTTTTTTTAGAATACTGATTGTGGATTGGGACGTACATCATGGACAAGCAACACAACAAATGTTCTATGATGATCCAAGGTAACTATTTGAAATTGAAATATTTCTTATTTGACCGACTTCATAATTTGTTGAATCGACATTTGTTCACATTTATCAAATATAAAATATCGTAGGTAGAAACAACTCTAAGGAGCCAAATGGATCGTTCCCTTAAATTTTTATCATCCAAGGACGATGAAGCTGGTAAAATAACATTTTGTTTAAAGTTATTGTTTCTTGAATTGAACCTTTTTGTATAAAATGACTTCCAAACAAAAGAGGTGGCCATTATTAATTAATGTCGGCATTTTTTGCATATGACTGCTATTAATTTGACTTATTGCTATTGATACAAATGTCGAACGACCACAAAGTGAAATTTCTTCGATCCTACTGGACTCGAACCAGTGTCTGTTGCCTCAGTGTGGCTACCAATTTTACTAAATGAGCTACGGGTCGAGCCAGCATGTTTTTCTGCAAGTTTGTGTGATTTGATTGAAGCTGTAGAAACATTTCAATCAGGTAGGTGTTTTATAGTGTAGTTCTTTATAATAAAAGTCTCAGTCGAGTCTAACACTTGTAATTACTATAAATGTAAATTACAATACAGCACGGTGGCGGCGGCCATCATAGACAATAGAAAACTACTTGTCATCGACAAGATGCTATAAAATAAAGACACCCACACAGAGTGTCACAGTGCTGTGTTACTTAGCTATGACCATAACAGTAGGGTGTTATAATTATTTAATCGTATTCAACAGAGTAGTATACTTTTCAATACATCGCTATGAGTACGGCGCGTTCTGGCCAAGCCTGCGTCAATCGGACTTCCACTACATAGGATGCGGACAAGGCAAAGGCTACACGTTCAACGTGCCTCTCAATCAGACTGGCATGCAGGATGCTGACTATTTGGCTATTTGGCATCAGTTACTGCTACCTATGGCGGTAGAGGTACGTCGGTATTGACTTCTTAACTTGTCTGCAATAGTATAAATTAACATAAAGTATCGAATATAGTGTTCCATTACAGGATCTTTTCCTTTTATCTCAAGAATACAAGATATTTATTCGCTGAAAAATGTAGTTAACAATATGGGTCTTGTGGCATATTATATTAGACTACATTTCACGTACATTTCACCAAGACTTGACATGCGGATATATTACGCAATTCTTATTTCACTTTTGATGGTGCATGCATTTAAAGTTAAATTAATACAATAGTACATAAACAAACAATAACAACTGGAATTTAACCAGCAAATAGGAAGTAAAAAATGTAACATACACTTCCGGACACATAATTCGCGCAAATGGCATTGTTTGGGCTGTATTTCCCTGTATTTAGTTGATGCGATAGGGAAGTCATCCCAAAATGAGTGTTACAGCTCATAGGTTAAGTTTATTTAATACTTTTCTTCACACTTATCTACTCAAAACCAAATCGTCGGTTAGGTGGCCAGGTATCCTAGGGCGTCAACTGTACATAAAAATGTTTTATTTTGTCATTTAATTCAGGCCACATGACCCGTATAATACATTATGCCTTAGGACTAACATACATACTTACAATATTACATATTTTTAATTAAAAACATATTACATACGTACAATATAATATTTTTTTATATAAAAACGCATTTGACCTCCATATCTCCTGATGAAAAGTGATGATGAGTTGGACGATGTAGCATGCACACCCAAATAATGCCTATTCACTCTCGCCTTGAAAAGACCCAAGTTATAACGTTCAGGGAACAAGTACGCGGGCAGGGAATTCCACTTCTAGCCGCTCACCATATAAATGTGAAAGTAATATCCACAACATAGGCGTGATACCCCAGCCCACGTCTAGTCCCTCGATGATGGAAAGGGGAAGGCGGAATCAAATTATGCAATTCCATCGCAGTCTCCGTGATATATCCTGTAGAATACCGATAAGCAGGCAACTATAACATGCTTACATCTTGATGATCTTAAGTTAGTAGAAGGCCGATATCAAATATACTGTATTATTATACCATAGTATTAATAAGACAAGTAGTGTAACCCATACGAACGTAACAGCACGGCTTGTATGTGTGCGCGTCCATTCGCACACATTCGCATTATGTCGCAGGGCACTCGCGTTGCGTAGCGCGCATCTCGCCTTTCATTACACATTTCAAGCGTTTGCGCGGTGTTTAAAAAATGACATCAAAATAATAGGCGTATTTATTGGCGCGCTAGGTGGCGCTAGTGTAACATGCGCCGCTAGGTACAATTATTTATTACTTGAGAATGACTGATATGTACCGAATGTGTGTGAATTATTACTTAATCGACAGGGGTAGTTTGTAAACTGGCAAACCGATGCAATGCGAGTACTACTTTTTGTTTATGAACGCTATTTTTAAAATACAGCCAGTAACATTTTGTTTTGTGAACTTGTTTTTAATCTTTTTTTATCCAATTTTTAGTACCAACCGGAGCTGATACTAATCTCAGCAGGCTACGACGCCGCAGTGGGCTGTCCGGAGGTAATTCCATTTCTTTCTATCACAGTATAAATCTGTATTTGTCTCTTTCAGTACGCCCCCGAATTGGTCATCGTTTCGGCTGGGTATGACTCCGCGTTGGGAGACGAGAAGGTTTGAACGTTTCTAACGTTTTGAGGTTTCAATGCTTGTTTTCCGTTCATTGTTGTCATTTGTGCCGTTGTAACCGGTGCTACAAAAAATCCGACCACATTTCTGCCGGTGATCATACTCATGACAGCAAACAACTTTGTGATTGGTCCTTAATACAAATTTCAGATTTATTGCGCACATCCACATGTCCTGCTTTTGGGCTTTCTGATAATGATATACGGCAAATAATAATGGTAACGAATAATTTATCTACAGTAGGTGTGGTTTACAGAGCTGTAATGAACATATTTATAGTAATCATCGAGTATATAACCAGAAATGGAGACGAAATGTCATTAATTTGTTTGAAAACTATATATAACTGCGCTCCGATTGGTCAGCCCGAATTCGAAACATTGACATTAATATACGACGGTTGCCGTCAATAGTTTCACTTCAAATCGACCAGTTTAACTTTAGATTTGCTATACTATTATAATTGTAATTTGAAATTGATAAACTTTTATGAAGTTTGGGAGAACCTTGTCAGTAGAAATGTTATTGTAAGGATAACTATATAAATAAAAAAATATAAATTTAATAAATGGCTTGTAGATCAGCGTCTCAAGACCGTATTTACAAAATGACATAAATATCAAAAAGCGTTCAAATAAACCGCTTAAGAGAGTTGATTATATTTATTTTCAGTCAAAATAAATATAATCTGTTACTTCATGTTTCACCTGCTTTAAGTCAATAACTCATTAACTCATTCGTAATACTAGATAATAATAATAAAGCGACAGACAAAGCGGGGAAAGGGGAAGCAGGGTTCTGTGATGTAAACATGTTGTGACTTTATTTCACAGAACTATGATACCAATTCCGAATCTCTTCTCCTTGTGGTCCCCCTGGTAACTATAGTGAGAAGTACTATAATACTTAAATCTCATAAAAAATTCAAAAAAATAAAATCTCAAAAAATACTCGCCGCGACGCACTGGCTAACGCGTCGTTGTAAGGCTAAAAGGCTTCTGGTTATGATAGTGCAAATTCACCTGTGATTACCGGAGCAACGAAATTAACCCAGAATGCCCAGATCAGAACCAATTTCGAAAGATCGTTTTCCAAATTAGTCGTACTGATATATTAAACAAGTACCTCCATTATCCAACGCCCATAGTCATCGACGTCAGAGTCTAACAGTACTAACCGCTGGGCCACCGAGGTAGTAAAATAAACCTGAATCTACTTTTTTCCGAGATATGACCTAATCTTAAGATTGTCGCACGCGCCTTTTAACTTTTTGATTAGTTGCTGCAAATAATGACTGAGGGATGAAAATCTTTCATACATTTCTCATAGGTGGCGCTACCGCAAAAAAAGTCGTTAAAATAAAAAATATCTGCAACGATTACTTAGGGTCGTATTCCAGAACTCTACTCAATACTCAAGTCAGGAGTTGACTTGAGTATTGCAGTGAGCACTGAAAATCATACTCAAGTCCTTGCCATTAGGGTCGTATTTCCAGTGCTTGAAATCATACTCAAGTCTGCTCAAATCCTGACTTGAGCATTGAGTAGAGTTCTGGAATACGACCCTAAGGATAAAACTACTCACCTAGGAAGCTGAAGTTGCTAGTTCTAGTAGCAGTAGAGCTCCTTGTGAAAGAGTTCGTCCAGGGAAGTACTGCCACCTTACCCATTTCTGCCGCCAAGCCGTAATGTCAGCATTACTGTGTTTTGGTTTTGAAGGGTAAGAGTGCTGGTGAAATTACAGGCCCATGGCACTTGTCTACTTACGTCTCAGGGTGACGGGCGATGCGGTAGTGCCCCTCAGATCTTTGTGATTGAAAGCACAGAGTGGCACTGCAACTGTTATGGACAGGCGTGTAGCTTACTATCAGGCGCACGACTCATTCGTACCGTCACTTGATATAATAAAAGTTGGATTTTAAAGTAATTTTAGTAGTGTCATGTAAAAAATGCAATAGATGATCCTTTCACCTAAAGTCATTGACTTACAAATAAATGGACGACGGGTCTAATACAAAAACCACGAAAAAAATGTTCCAAGTCAACCTATTTAAACGTAGTGACATGTCAAGGAATATGAAAAAGCTAAAACGTTGAATTTAAATTGTAATGTCATCGCAGTACTGTCTAATTTTGCTTGCTTCGTTGCCAGTCGAACAAACGAAGACTAAAGCGTGAATGACGCTCTGTATACGATTTTAACGCCCTATAAGTTCGGACACTTTTTAACGCGGACCCGACGTCCATATAATTGTAAGTCAATGCCTAAAGTCAATATTTTTTATGATAGCTTGTTTTCACTAATGCGGATATTGTAGTATATGACCCATATATTATCCAAAAACATTTGTTAGTTGTTTAGTAAACTTGAAAATCCGCTTTCACAGGGTGAGATGGAAATCACGCCCGCCTGCTACCCTCATCTCCTTAACATGCTGATGTCTATCTGTTCGTCCATATGCGTCGTTCTTGAGGGAGGCTATTGCATACCCTCGCTGGCAGAGGGCGCTGCGCTCACACTCAGGACTCTGTTAGGACACGCTCCACCTGTGTTACAGGCTTTAAGTGAACCTACAGACTCGTAAGTACAATTTTACTAATTTATCTGATATATGTGTGTGCGACTAGTTTTTTATTTATTTCATGAACTTGGATTCAAGTTTTTCAGAGATAATAAACTATAATTACTTAGAGTTGTTATTACATAACTTTAGGTCGGTTTTTGTGCATATCACTGATGAGTTGATGGTATTGTAAATTTTTATAGTCGACAAGCCCAAAAATCTGCAAAAGCTTTGACTGCCATCTTAAAGGCTGCTACTATACGAGTTCTGCGCCAGATAGAATAAGGATTGTATGCGATCATTATTGAAAAGTTCTAAAAATATTTTTTTACTTATTTTTTTATCATGCGCTATTTTGAAGTAGCCATTTGTTGTAAATTGTGTTTGTGTAAATAAATACTTTTTTTTTCTACAGAATTCGCGAAACAATCCTAAACTCAATATACGTACATAAACCATATTGGCGTTGCTACAATTATCAGCCAACATACAGAGTTAGACAATCTGTACCAAACGTGTGCGATGACGAGAAACAGAAACATACCGTTTCCGTCAAGTGGGAGGGAGACGAAACGAGACCTGATCGTTACGCCACGAGGGACTGTTATCCCTTACAGGATAATGAGGTTAAACGGAAAAATCGAGAGAAATTGGATCATTTGAGGATTGGTAAGATTTTCGTTTGTTTCTTTTTTATATAAAGAAAACAATATATACATTACAGTAGCAGTAGAGCTCCTTGTGAAAGAGTTTGTCCAGGGAAGTACTGCGTTACCAATTTCTACCGCTAAGCAATAATGCTCACATTACTGCGTTCCGATTTTGAAGGACAAGGGTGCTGGTGAAATTAGAGGCTCATGAGACTTTTCAACTTATGTCTCAGGGTGTCTCAGATCTTTGCGATTTAAATCTTACCTTCACGCGCACGACTCGTTCGTCTCATTACTTGATAGAGTATAAAAAAATAAATCCACTCGATAGAAATCTTCAATCATAAAATTCAACAAATAGATTTTACTCCAAAGCAATCGTTAATATTATAAAAAAATGTTGAAATAAAGCAAAATTAGTATTTCTAGAACATAAAAAATTATCTTCAAATATCACAAAAGTTGAATTCTCTACTTTGTGGGGTATATCACAACATACAGAGAACATATAATATATAAACGTAAAACAGCTACTGTGTACACAATGTCTATAAAATATTTTTTTTTGTTATCATTTGATTGGAAAAAAATCATTTTTTTTTATTTGACGTTTATTTGCGTTTTGCCGGTTCGCTCTGAAAATCAGAAATTCCCTGAGCCCGTGTCCATTCTTACTAGATCTTTTTTATTTTCTTATGTAATTATCTCATTTCTAAGTTTTTGTTTCGGTCAGTGAAAAAATAAATGGATTATGTAAAATTCTGAACCGAACTATGTAGATATCGTTTTTACCATCAAAATTAAAAATCATTCATCCAAGGGATGTTTTGAGTTGAATAAATTAAATTTACAACTTTAAATTATAGGCATTCTCCAGACACACACACACGGAACACAAATCCAGTATAATTTGCGTTAGGGCAAATCGACGCCATTACATTCCTAAAACAGTTTTTTTTTTTATTTTAGTTACGAATCTGGCATTACCACAACACCAAGTCTGCTACATCTATCACCCAGCTATGTTGAAACATAAAAATGTTTGTGAGCCGTAAGTATATGTATTTTTATATTTTAACCTCGTTAACTTAAACAAACAAACTTAACTATAAGGAAATGAAACTGTTTTTCCGGATTTAAATCGCGTATATTTGTTTTTTAAACAAACTGACGTTTCGGGCCCTTTACAGGTCCCATGGTCATGGTTGACTCGTTGATTCGAAACGTCGGTTTGTTTGAAAAAAACAAATATACGCGATATAAATCCGGAAAAATAGTTTCATTTCCTATGTGTAACAATCGCGAAAACCTAAGAACTCGATATTAACTTTAAGGTTTATTTTTTATATTTATTTATTTAAAAACACAGTACTTATAGGGTTTATACGAAAGTAGAATGTATCGCAAATAGTACACCCAAGTAGTACTTTTTTAAAACTACTTTTTATAATAATAATGTGAGATGGAAATAAAACGTAAGGAGTAATTTGTTCACTTTTATTTTCGAAAAGGGATGGATACGCTTTTATACAATATTGGGCCAAAATGTAAAAAGATGAAAGTGGCATCAATTAATAGCTTATATATTGTCATACGATCACTGAAAAATCGGCGGATTTTGGCAATCTGAGAGTAGAGTTACAAGAGATTTAGTAAAAGTAAGGTTATGTAACAACTTATACTTACCAGTTGATTTGTGTAGTGCGTTTGTTGTTTTTTACGTACAGGGTTATCTCAATTAACTTAAGATGTCTCATTTTCCAGATTGAAATAAAAAAATATAACCCTTTTTTTAAATCATACCTCAACTTACTACATTTTGGCCCAGATTGCCCCGTCTCCTTTGAAAGATAGAATTCGCACACAACCGGCATCGAGAGCCATCACCATAGAAGAAATTGACATCTGTCATCCGTCACCTCATCCTTCTCTCTCACACTTCATCGTTCAGAAACTAACCGTTCACTCCGTTCACAATCCTATAATAATAATTATTGTTTAGGAAATTAAACTATTTTTCTGGATTTAAATCGCGTATATTTGTTTTTTCAAACATATAATATTAAAACAAGAAAGAAAACTTTGGAAGTAATTAAAACTGAATAGATAGATGGAAACGAAACGTGAAACAATGCGTAATCACAGAAGACACGATCGTATGCAAACTGCAGAGCGATTTCGTCATTTGTGAATCTATCCATACCCACCCCACACTTTATTAATAATATCTACCCACCCACCTTAGACAATTTCTAGTGAGCAAATATTGTGATTTGTCAACGTTATCATTAAAAAGTTAACAATGCTTTTAAAAATATAACATTAAAACAAAGTAGTGCTCGTGGTATTAAACCACGGGTATTGTAACTGGCAGTCCATACAACAAGCCGCTCGACCAATTTACTCGGATGTTAAATGACGAAATTTAGTATTGGTTTTAAAAATATGTTGATTATCTTCAAGCAACACTCCACTGTATTGCTTATGCAACAATTTTCTTAGTTCAATACGTAAGATGTCTCTCAGAATCAAAAGGTCGGTTTGGGCATGTTAGGGGGTCAGGTATCTCATGTATATGACTGTACTAGACCAGTATTACAGCTCACCAGGCTCCCACCCAATCAGACAACTCATATTAAAGTTATATAGAACTGATACTGTCGAGTGTGTGAGTGAATAATAATTCGTTTATTTGCTTAAAACATAGTATAACAGAAGATGTCACAAGAGACAGTGCCAGTACAAACATGTTTCGCATTATTTTAAATAAATAATAAATTTTTAATAATAAATTTTATTTATTTCCACAAAATTTTACAAAAATTACAAATGTTTAGTTATACAATGTCAATTGACTACTACAACAATAAGAATGACACAAGTATAAATTAAATTTTGATTATTAATACAAGATTGAACACATAGAAAAACTTTTTCGACTAGATAAGACTTGAACCCACGACCATACTGCACCGTAGTATTGCTCTTACCAACTGAGCTACGGGACAAGTTATTGAGATGTCCTATTTGTTTTTGTACAGTATTTTTAGATTTAAATAGATCTTTGTACTGGATTTTTCGGCATTCTGCGCCGCTAATGACATCTAGTGGAAAAATATAGAACTTTCTTCTTAGCAGCCAGCAAGTATGTCTATAAAATATACAAATTTGTGATATATTTTAAAGTTTTCATTTTAATTTAATATACATAATCAAATCCGTCTATCGTTATTAAAATATGTATAACTAAAAATTGACTTTGATAATAACAGACCAACTGTCAAAAAAAGAATAAAGAATACAATAACGCAATTAGTAATTATTAGAACGTTCTTACATTCACAATTCAGACATATTTGGCAAAAATTTTACCTAGATTTACAATCTATCAATAAAACTGTCGACAACAACTACGTGATTACTTAAAATTTTACGAAAATTGGCAACCCTGCTAATGTCATTTTAATCCATCTTCACAAAAAAAAAGTCTATAGTTACATTATTAGTAAATTTCCCCTACAACACTACGATATGATTTTGGTTCTCCAAGAGGCCACGTGGAGTGCCCGGAGCGGATAATGCGGATACACGAGCGTCACCGCGATTACGGCTTGTTGGACCGATTACACCAATTGACAGCCAGGGCTGCCACTGACCTGGAGTTACTGTCTGTGCACAGCGAGAAACATCTCGACAGGTAATTCATAATTAATTTATTCATTCTAATATTAAATTTATTAAATGTCACGTTTTTCTACCTTTTGTTGAACACTAAGAAAAATTCCTTCGACCCAGCTGAATTCGAACCAGCGCCTTCACCATACCGTGCCTGATTTCATTTATTCCTTATAACACCTGTGTGTTGTATAAAAATTTAAATCACAATATTTAAAATTAAAAAGTGCGAGATATACTTAGTAAAGTCAAGATGGTACAATTAAATTTATAATTAATTTGTCAAAATGTATGATGAAGGTATGATTACAAACGAAATGTAGCAGTAGAGTTCCTCGTAAAGGAATTCGTTCAGGGAAGTACCTACTTAGTAGTAGAAAAAGGTACCTTTCTATATAAATTTTCTTTTCTTTTTTTATGATACTAAGTGAAGGAACAAACTGGTCGTCCAGGGAAGTACCTACTTAGTAGTAGAAAAAGGTACCTTTCTATACAAATTTTCTTTTCTTTTTTTATGATACTAAGTGAAGGAACAAACTGGTCGTACGCCTGGTGGTAAGCGACACGCCTGTCTATAACAGTTATAATGCCAATCGAGAGCTTTAAATCGCAAAGATCTGAGGAGCTCCGCTCGTCATCCTGAGACGTAAGTTGACAAGTCCCATGTGCCTGTAATTACACCAGCATTCTTACCCTTCAAAACTGGAACGCATCATTGCTCACATTACTGCTTGGCGGCAGAAATAAGTTAGCAGTACTTCCCTGGAGGAATTCTTTCACAAGGAGCTCTATTAAAAAAACGAATAGTGAAAGGACTGTAATAATAGTTAATGGTAATAACATATTCAATTTAAAATAGTTCCCGCCACTCACTGTTACAGGTTGAAAGAATTAGCGTCAACAAAACTGCGAGACCTCAACAGCCAGAAAGATGCGTTCGACTCGGTCTATTTCCATCCCGACTCTTTGGAAAGTGCCACTATGGCGTCGGGATGTGTCCTGCAGGTGGGTTTATTGTGGCTATCCTTATAGCTTACCTTATAACCAGGTATGTTGCAGTTGTTTTGCATCATTGAAACCTGCAGATGCAAAAACGGTGAAAAAATCTTTTTTTGTTCAGAAAAATATGGATCATTGTGGATTTGGTAGTCATTGAATTATCATTAATTTAAATAAAATATAATAATTCACGGTCTGGGGGTACTCTCGCACTTCACCTCCCGACTCCACTCAACTAGCTCGACTACTATATTTTCGTATTGTATTTTATTTTATACAGATAACAGATCAGAATATATATCAACAAAAAATATTCTACATGAATGAATATAAACCGGCAATCCAATTACAGCTATACACAACACTTTAGTACAAACAGTAGACATTAATACGTAGACGAAATTATTTAAAAATGCTTAATAAATTAAAACATAAAAGAATAAAAGACAAAAACATTATGCTTACGTAACGAAATTAAGGTGGGGGATTGAAATGTAGGAGTCTTCAGTAGAGTTCTCCAACTGTTATAACTACCATTATACAGATCATGGTTAGAACAGATATCATTGTACACATCCTGAATATCGGGTTGTTGCTCGAGACATTGTTCACAGAATGTGGAATACGGAATATTTGGGGTATACGTACAGAACGAGTTGGCACCTTCATTTCTATCATCTGCAACAAGGTAGCATCTGCAAAACCGTTAACAATCTTGTGGAGCATGGCGCATACGTAAATCTGATATCTGCCGTCTTTTTTGAAGACTATAGTTATTTATTTATATACGATACTTACTTACTTATATATGTATACTTACTCTATTCTTCCGACAGGCAGTAGACGCGGTACTTTCCAACGAAGCTGGCTCCGGGGTCTGCGTGATCCGCCCACCAGGCCACCATGCCGATGAAGAGATACCCAGCGGATTCTGTCTGCTGAACAACGCAGCTACGGCTGCTAAATACGCTATTGACAGTCACGGGCTGAAAAGAGTCCTAATTTTGGACTGGGATGTACATCACGGCAATGGGACACAGAGGATCACTTACAAAGATGATAAGGTATGTATAACATAATATAATTACGTATATCCACGGAATAACAAGCTGGTGGAACAGAAGTGGGCGTTCCCTTGTAGCCGTTGTTAAGATATCGCTCCCCTCATGGAGGAATGGCATAAGTGGAGTTACGTCGAACATGTTTATTGCTCCTTTAGATACAGAAAAATATACCCCACATCCTCACCAATTCATTTAACTCTGACTACAATATTAGTAGATAGAGTTACAAGAATTGGAGAGGATGTGGGTTATATTTTTCTGTATCTAATGGAGCAATAAACGATTTTTGACGTAACTCCACTTATGCCACTCTTCCATGAGGGGGCGACGTGTTTCATAACCAATGGTCATAAAAAGGTGTTCGACATAAATAGATATACGTATTTATCAATCCTAAACTGCCAGAAATGCTTTTACTGCACTGTAGGACAAACTATTGACCTAGGAAGTCGAAGTTCATTTTAAAGTAATTCTAGTGGTGTCATGTAAAAAATGCAGTAGATAACTGACAGCTTTTGTGCTGTTCCGTCAATGTGACTGACGGTCACATTGACGGACGCGGTGCGGTGTCTAAAGCTAGGGAGGGGCGTAGAGTGACGATTCTCGTTAATTTTTTATTCTTTGCTTTGGTAAAAGTTCAGTTATCTACTGCATTATTTTACACCGCATCATTAGAATTACTTTAAAATCCAACTTCGACTTCCTAGGTCAGTAGTTTTGCCTTACGATGCATAAAATCATTTTGGGAAATCCGGTATTCGTAAAAGTAATAATTTAATATTTGGTGGTTTCAATAACACTATGTCGCTCCTTGTAGCTATATCTATACATGAATCTATATTATGTGGAACACCTTTTTCCGACTATTGTTCGTAACCAAACTTTGTTACGCGTTAACGCTCTCTTAAGACGAACGTGTGCTTCACTTTTTTTTATGATACCTAGTGACGCGATGCACAAGCTGTGGGCTTAGTGGCTAGCGACACGCATGTACCACCAGGCGCACGACTTGTCGGTCCCGTCACTTGATACCATAAAAAAATTCCAATATGAGAAAGTTTACAAGTGTGTTATAAGTGGCAGCATCGGTTTTAATACTAATGCTGCTTGATACCATATCCACTAGTTTGCTCTTTCGTGATTATTAGCAGTACAAAGGCTGCTCTTTATATTTAACAACTTCATTATGATTTCGAAATATCGACTGTGAACTGGCAACCGGTACTATCTAAATTTTGACAACTTTACATTGACTTTACTGGTGAAGAAAAAAATTGCGTCATTTATATAGCATCTGATTTATTAAATAAAAATACGTAGTTTTTAAATATTTTTATTGCACATACACTACGTAGTTTTATTTAATAAACCAGATGGTATACAGGGTGTCGATTTGCATTATCGCCATATTTAAGAAATTAATAATAAGAATAATGCAAAATCATCTAAAAATATTAAAAAAAAAATTATGTTCAATATTCTGGCTAATTGTATCTACTAAAGTTTTGTAAAATTGTCCCCCAAGTTTATCCACCGCAGAGGATAGTGACACCGCCGTGCCACTCGCTTCACCGAGGGATGCGTAATCTTTCTCGATCGCTTATTTACCTATTTTTTAAATCATGTTTATGTAAATATGTGCAAATCAACATATTGTATAAATGATGCAAACTATTTTTTTCTTCACCTGTAAAGTCAATGTAAAGTTATCAAAATTTAAGAGCCATTGTTCATCCATAAAGATAAGGTAAGTATGACACTGAAATATTATGTCACTGGAAAATACCAGAATTTTAGCACATACATACATATGTAGAGTAAGTACATGGGGAATCAATTCGTGCAAATTAACTTTAGTATATATTTAAAACTGTAGATGGCGACACTTATATACACATGCACACAAAAATATAATGTATTGAATTTCGAAAATTTTAGGTATTTCTTTCTAAATTAGGGTTATAAAATATAAAAAAGAAATTATAAAACTATTTAAACAACATTTTAGGACTTTTCAATTTAAAATTCATTTACAATTTATAATAAATCAAAGGTTTGTCAATGGTATACAGTTGGATTTGTTAGTTTGCAATAAATTGTATAGATGAAGTTTCTTTGATTTTGTTTTTCGAAAGTAAGTAACGTTTTACTGACTTAAAATACTAAAAGAACAGTTTCGACGATCCCCTTCTCGTGATTTCTTCAAACAACGTGTCAAGGATCACTTTTTCGTCTTATATTCTCCACTATCTTTTCATTCATTTCCTATAGATACGTATACTTAATTTTTTTTTAAAGTATATAAGCATTTAATATTATTATTTATGTATTGTTTTGTTATGTATTAATAATATTTGTATTTATGTATATATCTGCGTATGAGATTAATAATAATTATTATGTAGTGTACTTCAAACGCTGGGATTTTTGCGCCACAAGCTTCCAGAAGAAATAAAATTGAGTATATGGTTTCAACAGTATATTTCGAATTTTTACAAAAAATGCTCAGGGGTAGGTACATTGGATAGTTCGATGACACGCAATGAGACACTCAGCTTAATTTACGAAGCACTTGCGAATAACGTCATCGCACGCTAGTCACAGACTCAGTGGGTTGCACTGGTCTGTGGCGACTAGGCTGCTGTGACCACGGCGACGCGGAGAAGGTAGACCCACGGAGCAGGTAGGCTCGCGGCAAAGGTAGACCCGCGGAGTATGTATGCTCGAGGCGAGGGTAACGCTACAGATATAGTCCGGTGGTACGACCCCAAGTCTGGGGTACGCAGGAGTAGTTTTACAAAAATTATTTATTAACTCAGCAGCACAGTAATAAGACGAGAAAAAAAAAGGACCAGTGGCGGGGGACCTATTTATAGGCGAACCCCCTCTGTGGAATTTGCGTGTTTTCGAAACGCATTACCAAATTGGTCATGGACGAGAGAATTTCGACCTTAAGAAGGTTAAATCTCAACCATAGACAAATATGTTGACATAAAGAACCGATAATACAAATAGTGGCTAACCGATCAGTCTGTTAATTTATTAAAAAGACTTAATAACACACAAAAAAATTTAGAGATTCGCCCTGTGTACTTTGGATTAATACAGAATTAATTAATATCTTTACGCAAATGAATAAACAACCTTTAGTTACCTTGTACAAAAAGCACAGAGTTAAACAAAACCTACCCACGTTAAAATTATCAGAAATTAAATGTTAAAAATAGTGAGGTCACTTATTTATTTTGGTTGTGTGAAACCTAACAAAACAGTGAATAAAGCAAAATTCTAGTTTTAATGTTTTACATTCGCAGCTTAAGTGAAAAATTGCTACATACTTGTAATGATGTTGTTTGGTTGCACCCCTTTTGCAAATTTCTCTTAAGTTTGCCTGGAAGAAATTCCTGCATACTGTAATTTAATGTGCAATAAAGAATATTTCATTCATTCATTCAGAATTCAGCTTTGCGATTTTATTGTATGTTATTGTATAAGCAATAAACGCCTGAACAAGACCAATGACTGTGACAAAAATGTAATAGCTGCCATCTGTTGACCTTTTCGAATATTATTACAATGGCATCGTGGATTTACTTAGTACCTACCATCTATTGAATAACGTTAAAAATCAAAATATGTATCTGATTAAGCGTAGTTACGAGTGCGACATTTCTTTGTATTTGATTGGGGATCCGCGCTAGTATAGTATTATATTATTTGTAGTAGAATATATTCCTTGCCCTTTTCCCCTAGAGGCAGGTAGAGCCCACAGCCTACCTAATACGTTAGTATTGTTTTGTAATATTCGATTGCATAAACTCATTTGCGTGCAGTTGTTTTTAATTATAACGACTCTGGCAACACTGCCTTTTTGAGCTATTTATGGTCCATCTACTGTGTTGCCAAATAATATACTCGTTTTAATTTAGAGACTTTTTTGTTTATAACAGATTCTCTACATGTCGATTCATCGGTACGACAATGGGTCGTTCTTTCCCCATTCGACAGACGCTGACTACAATGTTGTTGGGGAGGGCAAAGGCAAAGGATTTAATGTAAACATACCGTGGAATAAGGTAAGTACTTACAGGGCTAGGCAGCATAAGAGTTATTTGTAATTGAATTTACTCTTTAAAAATATATTTGTACATATGTTAATTACCTCGACATTTCGGACGTATTGCAACGTCCACGGTCTCAAAGGGACTGAAGAGGCGGGTGTCAAGGTCTTCTAGCCGTGCGAGTTTTACTAACTTATTTATTTATGCATTAGGATTGTTACTAGACCGACACACAACACTCTAGATATCGGGCGATATTTAGAAGACTATTTTAAGCTTTCATCGCCGTGGGATCCAGCCATCAGCAAATGTAAACGACATCAAGTATTGCCCGACAAGTCGCCGGATGTCGTGAGCGTTGTGTTGTCGGTCTAGTGACAACCCCAGTGCAAAAATAAATAATGTAGACTAAGTGCGGGTAGTTAGAAAAACTCGTTAGGTAAACGGTTAGAAGATGTTGACACCCGCCTCTTCAGTCCCTTCGAGACCAGGACATTGCAATATGTCCGAAACGGCGTCGAGGTAATTAAAATATGTTTTAATATTGAATATTGATTTCAGCGCGGTATGGGCGACACGGAGTATCTCGCGGCGTTCACACAAGTTGTCCTGCCTATTGCGTATGAGTACAATCCCGAGCTGGTGATCGTCTCCGCCGGCTTCGACGCTTGCATCGGTGATCCTTTGGGAGGTAATAATAATAATTCGTTTATTTATCTAAAATATAGTATAAAACAAAGACAGTACAATTATGGAAATGAACAAAGTCGAAAAGTGAAGAGTTTTACACATTCATTTAATCGTACTGAAAATATTCAATCGTGAGAAATTAACACCCCAAAAGTCAACAGTTACTGGTAACTACCAAATAGCTACCAAAAGCAATGTGCGCTCAACAGTTGCTGGTAGCTATAGCTACCAGTTTTGTATGGGGAATCGCATTGTCGACAGTTGATCGAAACTGCGACGCATACTTAACCCGTACATAGGGTACAGATCAACTCGGGACGGCACAAACTACAGCAATAAATGCTGCGCGGGGTATCAAAAGCTCTCGGAAAAAAGAGCGCTCTGGTCTCAAGGCGGCATACAGTCGTGTACAAAAATTTTAAGTTATTCGTCAACTCAATATACATCTCACTGCTGGGTACGGGTCACCAATTATTATTTTGTATACTTTTATCTTTACTCCCTACAATATACGTACAACGTTATAACTGATATTTAATGTTACGGTAAACGCCGTTACTATACTCGAATGGGTTAAGAAACTAGTGTCTCCAGAAACACCCAGCGCTTTCTACTAGTAACGTGTAACCTGCATTGAAAAATATTACAGTAGAGTGATTTAAAGTAATTTTTTTAATAGGAAATGAAACTATTTTTCCGGATTTAAATCGCGTATATTTGTTTTTTCAAACAAACCGACGTTTGCGGCCCTTTACAGGTCCTATGGTCACGGTGATGAAAACCTAAGAACTCGATATTTTGTTTAAGAAAAAAAATCGTAACTCCAATTTTATTTGTTATATGGAAATATGTAACCTTTCTAGTTTTACGAATAATGATTTTTTTTAATGATACTTTAAATCACTCTCCTGTTATATTTTCAAATGGCAAGTTAGACGTTTTACCTTTCCAATATCGATCTACTCCTCCTCGTGGGCCTTTTTCAGTTACTTTTCAGTCGCAGAGAAGTGCTAACGAAGTGTAAGTATTGAAATTGTGGCCAGTACGTGTTTGCGCAATCGCGTTGTGAGAATAATAATTTTCGGGTTGTGACAGTCACTTATTAGAATAGGTCTATTGCTTGGTTATTAAATGTTTATGTTAAGCATGTATAAAACCAGACTCTTTCGCATGTTCACCGGCACATGCAGGAACGTTTGTGACTATGTCAGCAAATGTGTTAAGTTATCGAACATCTGAGTGTTATCGAAGTATATATAAAATGTCATCGAAGTGTTAAGTTGTCAACGTTAGCTGCCCCGGTGCCCGAACGGTTACCATGCCGAACTGCCACGCAGAGCTCCCAGGTTCGATTCCCGGGCCGCGAAAAATATTTGTATGGCTTACATTTATTTCTCTCGTGAGTTTGGGTGTAATTTGTGTTATCTATGTGTATGACCATGGCACCCGCGACACAGAGTTTCCTTAGTTGGGGGCTATGTTGTGGGTTATTATTATTACTATCACAATGCCAAAAATATTACCATTTTTTTACACGTTTATGTCATTGTTTCAGGTTGCAAAGTTACCCCAGAATGCTACGGTCGTATGACGCATTTCCTCAGAGGCCTGGCTGGTGGCCGCGTCATATTATGTTTAGAGGGGGGCTACAACATCACAAGCATCTCTTACTCTATGACAATGTGCACTAAGGCTTTATTAGGAGACCCTCTATTGCACCATTATGACCCTACAGCCACGTGCCATTGGTCCGCAGCGGAGTCCATAAACAATGTCATCAAAACCCATAAAAAGTATTGGAAGAATCTGAAATTCCAACTGGCTTTGCCCATAGAACCAGTTCTAGATGAACCCTTGCCTTCCATAGGATTAATTATTACGGAAGATCAAAATTCAACTGTCGATTCTGATAGATTATCAGGAGTATCATCAAGCACTTTGGATGATTCACCGAAATCTAATGGCTCGAGAAGCACGAGCGACTTAAATTATTACCTTGAAGGTAATATGGCAGCCTTGAGCATAAGACCGAAGTGTAATGATGGTCTTCATTGTGGGACTGATGATGAAGATAACGAAAGAAACGAAGGTTTGAAACAAGAACCGAAAAAACAAAGAACTGATGTAGAGTGTTTCAAAGTTGATAAAACCATTATCGGCAGAGATTCTAGTTCAAACCAAGAAGCTTCAAGTTCGAATCAAAATGCTTCAATTTCAAATCAAGGCGCATCAACCTCGAAGCAATGCCGTTTACTCGATAATCCTTCAAATGTCAACCATGGGGGTCCTATTGAAAGCCGTTCAACTGCGACTCAAACCACAAATCCAAGCAGTTCAAATGCGAGTCAAGGTGCTGCTGTAAGTGCAGCTCACGGAGTTTCAACTGCTAACCGAGAAAGCTCCAGCACAAACCAAGGGCCTTCAAGTACCAGCCAAGGTGGTTCAAACACGACACCTGAAGATAAACAAACACTTGTAGACTATTTAGCAGAGAATATGCAAGCTTTAGTTGATGAAGAGATGTTTGCAGTGATTCCGCAACCGTGGTGTCCCCATCTTGAGTCGTTGTTTGCTATTCCGAGCGACGTGAAATTCTCGCAGGGTGTCAAATGCGTAGATTGTGAGGAAACTGTGGAGAACTGGGTCTGCTTGCATTGTTTTATTGTAAGTATTTATTTTTAATTTTAAACTACGAAACAACAAAGAAAGCAATATCGCAACTATACAGGGTGACATTTTATTATGTTCTTTACTTTAACATATTAATACCCTTTAGTGAGGAATAGACCATAATTATTATACCATTTCTTGCCTTAAGTAATCAGGGTATAGTATAATACACCAGCAATAATTTTACTTTTAGTAGTAGTAGAGCTATTAGTTAGAAAGAGTTCATCCTGGGAATTACTGCCACCTTACCTACTTCAGCCGCCAAGCAGTAATGTCAGCATTACTGTGGTCCGGTTTTGAAAGATAAGGGTACTGGTGACATTACAGGCGCATGGGACTTGTCAACTTATGTCTCAGTGGCAGTGCCCCTCAGATCTTTGCGATTTAAAACTGGAGTGGCAATGCAACTGTTATGGACAGGCGTGTAGCTAACCATCAGGCGCTCGACTTGTTCGCCCCGTCACTTGATAATATAAAAAAGACTTCTTCTTTAACAAATGTAGCTCATTATTATGTTACAAAACACAACACTTAGTTTACAAAACGCCATTTCGAAACCTTTAATTTCGTTTATGTGTACTTATATATATCTATGAAATATTCCACCCAATATTTTTGGATGGAATCTTAACACCTGTACCCAATTGTCTGTCGAACTTCTTTGTTAATCAGCGACAAAATGGTCGGTGCGATCAAAGTGTACAAAAATATAAAACTTATGTCAAAGTTCATAAGATGCTGTTTTTTGACCTTGTAATTCTAAACTCGGATATTTGCAAACAATAATAATAACATTTATTACATTTAGATATACATACAGTAAAGGCAGTAAGGGCAGTGTATTATATTAGAGTATTAAACCTATGGTAGTACAGTAATCAGCACATGAAGCTTATATACTTTTGTTCGAATATCGCCTCCAGAGCAACGAACCAAGATCCATCATGTTTAGCTTGATTTGAGGCCGTCTATGAATGCTACTTATACAGGCTGTTTGTAAAATACGAACAACCTCGCAGGCCTATATTATTAATATCATAAACAACGACTGTTCTTCCATGAGATATGTACAATTTACACAACATAATAAATAAACCAAAAATAAACTTTTAAGTGTTTGTTGTATGTATTATCTGACACTTTTTTTTATCTATATTTGGTAGTAAATTAGTTGGCAAAGCCTCGCATGCTGTCATTTAAGTTATAATTTTAGTGGTGAGTAATTTTTTTTGTTACAATAAATTAAATATTTTTATTTTGTAGCAAAGTAAAATCAGATCAGATTTTATTCATTAGAATTAACCAGAAAATGTGGGTCCCTTCGACGACTCATATTTGACAGAAGGAAGAAAAATGCTTTACTGGCAGTCGTGGGGGTTTCTCTGATGTGCTGTCGCGTTGCCGTTCTGAATTAGAAGAGTTCCTTTTGTCACGTGTATTCGCTTCGCCATTCCAATTTACACCAAGGCAAGGCGAATACACGTGTCAGAAGGAAAGTCACGGAACAAAAGTTATTCTTTAGGATGTTAGTAATATAATCCTACGAGGTTGTTTTTGTACGAATAACCCTGTTTGAAGTGTTTAAAACTCCTGACTCCCGAACTAAGCAAGGCTTCTATAGGTTAGGGATGCACGACTTGTTGCTTTGAATTGATCCACGGATCGGATCGCTTGCTCTTGAGTCGATCTCATAAAAATCGATTCAAAAGGGGTTCAGAAAGAGACTGTTTTGATTAAATTATGAATACGATCTAGACTATTTAATTCGCCTTAATGTTGAATCGATTTACTTAAAAATCGCAATCAAATGAATCGATACAAAAAATCTCTAGATCGTCTGCATCCATCGTCTTGTATCGATCTTCCTAAAATCGAATCGTACTGTGCATCCCTATACTGGTCCACACACAGATCATTTTGAAGTTGTACAATCAGTGTCAGCCTAGCTAAGATGATCCCTTTTTCCTCTACAGACGGCCTGCGGACGCAGCATAAATGGGCACATGCAAGCGCACTACCGCAAATCAAGTCACCCATTAGTGCTCTCCTTGCTAGACCTGTCCGTATGGTGCAATGAATGTGACGCCTATATCGACAATCCGCTTCTTTATGACGCAAAGAACAACGCGCATCGTGAGAAGTTCAATGAAGACATGCCTTGGTGTTATCGATCTGACACAATTCAGATGCATTGACGTATTTGACGACCTCGTTGTGGTTAGCACTAGCGATGGGAGGAGTTGTGATTTTTTCAACTCGAGTTTCTCCAGTTGACGTGAATGCTGACTCGAGTTGATTCGACTCGGTGTCTGACAGAGCAATCGCGAGTCGCGAGTAGTGAGAGCGATGCAGCGTATATTCATATGAACTCGAACCGACAATTCACCGAGTTGGGCACGACCGCCCTACCGACAGCCCGACTCGATCGTGCTCCGAAGGTCGCCGAACCTACCGAGTGAGAACGAGTAGCCGATGCACTGTATGAATGAAGCAAGGCGGGGTAGGTACCGAACCGAGCTAAAGTCTGTTTCAATCTATTATACCAGAAAAGTAAACAAACCGGTTTGGTTAAAATTTTTAAAGCAATCACTCAATAAATGGAATAAAATGGAATAAGTAACACTTTCACGTATATTTTGAAGACATCGACTTAATATCTCATCACTTTTTCCAGCAATATTCATTTGAATAACATTTAAATGTTATTTGAAAAATGTTAGTTAAAATTTGAGGCTGTTTATGTCTATGGTTACATAGGGCTGTAGGGAAATAACTCATTCGGTTCATTCTAATAAAGTTTTTGTAATCGATTAGTGAATCGAAAATTTAATCACAATCAAACGAAAATTTAAGTGTAAAGATTTGATGGAGGATTTAAAATTAGGTTTCGGAAACTTTCAATTTGCTTTTATATGTTATGTAACAAAAAAAAATTCCTAATCCATATATGAAATATCATCAGTCCTTATTGAATCACTTATTTTAGATTGTAATCAACAGCGAAATCGCATATATTATTTTATTATATAAAATCCAGCTATTCCAACTGATTCAATCAAACAAATCCATTCATTCAATTATTTAATCGATTTGTAATTGGCCATCACTAAATTGTCTATGGTCCAGTCAATGATCTGTTTCTTTACTTTTCTGGAACAGACTATAGCTCGAGTTCATAAAAAAGTAGCTCCAGTTGACTCGTGGGAGTAACTCGAGTTAAATAACTCCACTCGCCCATCGCTAGTTAGCGCCACGAACGAGTTCTATTCCGGGTAGTTGTCGCGAATTACTGTTGCAATGTTGATCCCTTCAACAAACATAAATCTGGACCTTAAGTCTGCTAATATTTTTTAAATCATTGGTCATTGTAATCCGAGACTCCACTGAGATAAAATTGCAATTGTGATATTCGTTATTTTTGTTATTCGGCTAAAATCTAGTTGCAATAAATTCTCAGTAGAGTGTCAGTGGAATGGCAGTGATCGTTTATCACTAACGATCGATGTTGCCTTACTAAAACTACCATGAAAGTTACTACGTATCGTCGCCTTAAGGTGAAAATCTCGCATACGTCTCACACAGTTTGTTTTTACTGATTATTGTTCAAGAAAAACCTCTTGCTCAAATATATTATTAAAGTAACATAGTATCTGAAAGAGGTATAATTTTTTACTAATTAAAATGCTAACTACAAACATGACTTGCGTTTACTACATTTTACAACACATTTTTATCTTCCAAAATTACATACGAGGTATCACTCTGAGACGACGTTATGCATATCTTAATTTTTATTTCGTTTAATTAGTAACAAAATACCACTGTTCGTTCAATCGTAAGTCAATGGCAAAAAGGCGTCCAAACGCCATCGAAGAGCAGAGTACAGTCGGTGCCGTCACTTAAGTATCCACTATTTATATAGCACTTCGTAGAAATAGTGGACACCTAAGTGAGGGCAATGACTGTACTAACAAATTGCAATGGCAATTGAATAGTAGCTCATTTGGCAAAGCACTACTCTTACTTTTATCAGAATACCAAACGTACAAAACCTGCCATTGGCACTCTATCGACATACAACTGATTTAAAATTGGCAGACTTGGGACCCTGATATCATGTAGCGATTTAAGTTCCGTACATTAGCCAACTAATAAATCTTATAACGTTAATGTTAACAAACAACATCAAATACGACCTCCTCCTGACAAAAAGCCGTAAATGGAAGTCTACCACGAAATACTACACTACGTGACTGTGTTCGCAACAAAGCTCATACATATGGCACTTCTAATACAATAGTGTATTGACTCAAAAAGTGTATATTTTCAGAATCGATGAAAAATGTATTATTCTCACTTCCCGTGAAAAATTTATATAATGTATTTATAGGTTAAAGTATATTACAGACGTCTTAACAATTTACTTACCAAATATATTTAAAAATAAAAGTTAATTTTGTGCAGATCTAACTTACAAAACGTTTGTCTCATTCTGAGTTAAGTAGATATCTTTTAATTGTTTCTTAGAATATTCTAACAATGGTTTTATTGATGTGTGGAGAATCAAATTTTACGTTCAGAAATCTTGAATTTTGAGTTACAACACTATTGTAATAGCAGTGCGATATGTCACTTTTACGATGAACGTAATGTCAAAAGTCGATACGAAAGCTGTCATTTGGCGTTTCGGAGTAAGGACTTATGTTAAATTCGATTATGTTAACGTCCGATAAGAAGCGAAAACGATAATCGTTTCGTGGTAGACCTCCTGGTGTTAGACAAATGTTCGGGGCAATTTACTAAGTAAGTAAGAGAGAATCGATATAAATTAACTCAGACTCTAGTATGTAACTTCTAATGAAAAGTTTAGTATTGCAGGACAATAATATTTAGATAAAACTATAATATATACATTAAAAATGTAGTAATTTAACTAACAAAATTTGTTAACTGTAGCGGTGTAGGCGCTCATGTTTTTTCTTTCTCTCTGTTAAACACGTGACAAAGAGAAAACGACCGCCCGCATCGCCGCTGCTCAATATAATTAAAGCCTAAGATAATGAGAGAAAAATCATCGAAACTGTTATTTACATGACAGGGAAGTACAATAAAGTATTTCGCGAAATTTTGGTTCATACTTTAATTCGAATTGCATCTGCGCGTGTGAATATAATTTTTTGTGTAGGTACTGTTTTTGTTTGTAAATCAGCTGCATGAGCATGTAATTCGGACCTTAGTTTCCAGTACTAACCACAAAAATAATACTTTAGGTTACTTATTTTAATGACTACTAATGCGAATTCGTGAACTAAATTTTTTTCAACAAAATTACGGCGCGTACAAAACACATTCCGCGGTAAAAGCAATTTTTTTCTAATTTGAAATAGTAATAAACAATTTATTAACGATGTAGAAATAACATTATTAACATTGTATTTTATTTATACCTAAGTCGTATAACATAATTTTCATTCCATGGATATTATTTATTTATTTATTTCTAATTAGTTTCATAAAGTACAATGAAAGGCCATTATGCAATTGTATTATGACTGCACTACACTTGTATATTTTTGTGTACATATTTTATTCTCGGATACTTTATGTAGGCGTTATTCTATTATTTTTTATTTATATATCGTTTTATATTTAGTTTTTTGACATCCATATTTTCTAGTGGTAAATAAACGGTACTTCAACATCGAAAAAACAAACCTTTTTAACACAATATAATACGGCAAATACTGCTAAGTGATTGCAGATTCTCCATGTTTAACAAATAATAAATCATATCATGGTTATAAGTAATTGTTTTATTTATATTTTCTCTTGAAAACGTGACGTGACTTAAGTCAACTCTCACATGAAACCAAAAACTGTCATAACTTAAAATTCTAAAATTGAGAAAATACAATTTGATAATTTAAAATATAGTACTGAATGGATCTTATTGCGAATGTGTGACTTTGCAAGAGAGTAGTCCTTTCTTCCTACCTTTGGTATAAATACAACTTTGCACGTTGTCCATTGTATTGGTATATGTCCCCAAGCAAGACTGGCTCTATATATTTTGCCCAAGTATGGCAAGAGTACACTTATACCCTGCTGCAGTAATATGGGAGTAATACTGTGCTCACCTGGCGATTTTTTACGATTTAAACGAGCTAATAGCCCAAGCCACTTTTCGAGGTCTAATAATGTTGGCGGCAATGTGCCAGTCCTCGTTGCGAGATGTATGTACAGTAATTACTGGGTTAGTAGGCAAGTCGCACAAGGCCCCCGGACAGTGGGTTGACGTTAGAAGTTCAAAGGTTTCTCTCGTATAAGTCGAGTAGGTCCCAGCAGGCTTTTTTAACAGTCATGGTTGATGGGAATTGGGTTTGGCAAGCACTCTGTGTAGATGTGCACCTTGAGGAGCACTAGTGATATCCTCACAAAACCGCCTCCACGATACTCGCTTAGCCTTCCTTATCTCCTTATAATAATTGGTTAGGGGCTTCCTATAGGTCTCCCATTCCTTTGTCAGCTTGGCCTATTGAAGAGTTTTCTCTCTTAGCTTTCTCAGTTTAGCATTCCACCACAGAAGCTTCCTATTGGAGGTCCGAATTTTTAGTGGGCAGCTTTCCTCAAAAGCGCACTACTGGCGCGACTATATGAGGTGTCTAAACAACTTGCTTGTAAACAGTGTTTTTATTTTGCTCCTGCTTCAAAATTAATTTACACCGATTTAAACTATACTGTTCAAGTTGAAATTTATATTCAGAGATTCTTTATAAAATAGTGTAATTATTGAAAGTGTTTATTGGTAAAAAAGTGACATTCAGTGGTAATTGAGTTATTTATAGGCGGAATAGCCAAGTTTGAACGCGGGGTCAATAAGCTGCTTGGCAAGTACGCGTAAGCGACGCGATCTTCACGGCGCTTACGACGTTTTGGCCGCGGGCCTTGCTGGACGGCCGCTACAAGTTAAAGCGAAATGAAGGCGTCTTCAAGTAAGTCTCCACAAATGGATAAAAAATGCGCGGGTTGTCACAATGCATTACCGAAGCGTGAATTCTTGGTTTGTTCTGTTTGTAGACTAAATTACGATATTGAATGCGCAGGCGTATCCGAAAAGCGCTTTAATCTTATGGAGTCGTCACATAAAACTGCTTGGAGGTGTCCAGAGTGTTGCAGTAAGCAACCAAAACTTGGCAATATCAACACGCCCATACGTTCGCATGTTGTCTGTGAGACTGATTCCTTGAAAGATAACATATCAAATGTTACCATACGTACCAAGCAAAATAAGTTATCTTCACAGCAGGGTTGTCAAAACTACGTGACCGAAGACAGGCTACGCGAAATATTAAAACAGGAATTTTCTTCAGCTATGAATGAGACTATTAAGCATTTAGTAACAACCGAACTTAGGAGCATTAATGAGAAGATCTCTAGTTTTCAGGAAGCTGTAAATTTTTTTAATACCCAATTTGAAGATGTGAAGGTCACGTTGGAGAAGACTACTGCAACAATTGCTGATCTGACGAAGGATAATGAGAAGCTTAAATCTTCCGTAAATGATCTCACAACGCGATTGAACACTGTTGAACTGCACATGAGAGAGGCTAACTTGGAAATCAACGGAGTTCCTGAGCACAGATCCGAAAATCTATACAAAACTATTGTCCAGCTTACAAAGGCAGTTGATAATCCTCTTCAGGTGGATGATATCCTACACGTTACCAGAGTAGCCAAGTTATCCAAAGACAATGATAGATCCAGAGCTATAGTAGCTAAATTAAGAAGTCCTCGTACCCGTGATATAGTCTTGGCAGCTGTCAAAAAATTCAATAAAGAAAATCCTCAAGAAAAGCTAAGTTCCCACCACTTAGGCATTGGGGGAGCAAAGTCGCCGATCTACGTGTCAGAACACCTTACACCTGCAAATAAATACTTGCATGCTGCGACTCGGAAAAAAGCAAAGGAGCTGGCTTATAAATTTGTGTGGGTTCGTAACGGCCGGATTTTTATCCGGAGAGACGAGAATCACCAAGCCCTTTTAATAAGAAGTCTGGATTCTCTCCATAATCTTCAATAGGTTTAGTCTCTTAATTAAGCAAGTTTTGGAACCATCGTATTAAAAATGCTTGACATTTATTACCAAAACGTCCAGGGCCTTAGAACTAAAACTAATGATTTGTACAAAAATGTTGTTACTTGTAATTATAAGATTATCGCTTTTACCGAAACATGGCTAAATTGTAATATATTAAATAACGAATTGTTCGACAGTAGATATATAGTATATCGTAGGGATCGGTTGTGCTCGAGAAATACAAAGAAGGATGGAGGAGGTGTGATGATAGCAGTTTCGCGTGACATACCTTCAGTACGAGTACAGAACTGGGAAATTGACGTGGAAACCTTGTGGGTAACACTTCAAATATCAGTTGGTAAAACGGAGAGAAAACTGGCAATCTGCGTCGTATACTTACCACCTCCAGTAAAATTAGAAACATTGTCTCGATTTTTGGAAAGTGTTGATAGTATAATACACCAAACCGATGACCTTATAATCCTGGGTGATTTTAATCTCTGGTTCATTAACTGGACTGCCATGAACAATAGTACTAACATGGTTCCATCTAATTATAATACAGCTTTGGGGTACTCCCTAGTGGACTTTCTGACAGTTAATAGCTTGTATCAAACTAATTGTATCAGTAATAGTGATGGTAGATTTCTTGACTTAATACTCTGTAGATTGCCAGAAGCATCGGTGACTGTTCCTTTAAGTAATCTATCCAAAATATATAATAATCATCCAAGTCTACTGCTACGAATTGCGTATTCTAATGTTAATTATCTCCGTCCAAAAATTAATGATAAAAATAACTATTATAAAGCTGATTATAATTCAATAATACGAGATCTTAGAAATGTTGACTGGCACACAAGACTACCTCATTGTAAAAATGTTGACGATATGGTATTAGAATTATACACTGTTCTAAACGTTGTCATTGGTAAGTATGTGCCGAAATGCAAGTCCACCAAGCCAAATTCCCCTATTTGGTTTAGTAACTCTCTTACTAAACTCTTAGCAGAAAAGGATAGAACGCGTAGAAGGTACCTTAAATTCGGAAACCCTCGCGATGAAATTGAATATCAAATGCTTCGCTCTCGTTGTCATAAGCTCACTGATAAATGCTATAGTCAATATAAAAACAAAATAGAATGTAATATTCCCAAAAATCCAAAAATATTCTGGAGTTTTATAAAAAATAAACGTGGTGGGCACTCGACGATTCCTGCGAAAATGCAAATGGACGATGTGGTTGTTAATTCTGGTCCAGATATTGCCAACTTGTTTGCTCGACACTTTCGTTCAGTCTTTAGTAATGATTTTTCTTCTCATACGACACAAAATTCCCCTGACTACCATTCAAGTAAATCAATAAATAATGTAACTCTGCACGAACGTGATGTTTTAAACAAAATTAAAAAAATCGACCCGTTGAAAGGAGCGGGTCCAGATACAATTCCACCACTATTTGTAAAACGCTGTGGTTCAGTTTTGACTCAACCCCTGACAATGATATTCAATCGTTCATTGCGGGAGGGAAAATATCCTGAAGTATGGAAGAATGCCCGAATCGTACCCGTGTATAAGAAAGGGGATCAGAGTAATGTTAAAAACTATCGCCCTATTTCGATACTTTCCAGTTTTTCAAAGTTATTCGAAGCTGTTTTACATCCTATTATAACAAAATTTCTCGAAAATAGTGTATCAGA